GATAGTTTAAAATAAATAAAACCGCACAATATGTTTCATCAAGTTTTTGAAAAATGTATACGGTAATATGTAAATAATATTTAAATGATTTATGGTTTAAAACTTATCATAATTTTAATTAATGTAAATAATATCAATGTAAAACTTAATCTTCGTTAATTAATATTTTATGTATTCTTTAATAAATAAATATTACAAATCTCTTATTTATCTATATAAACATAATTATTAAATATCTCTTGCTTTTATATAAAGAAGCGCTTTCTCCTAATCAATTATCTTATACTACAATGTCTAATTTATCAGATGCTATAGGGCTTTCTGATCATGAAACCTCTCAAATTGAACAAACATGATCATTAAAAAAACAAACCTCTCTAGATAGCTTCTTGTCATATAAGGGTATTACTGAAAGTGAAGGTTCTAGCCCAGAAGAATCAGATAATGATATAATTTCTGAACAATATGAAATTTCAGCAGAAGCATCTTCACCATCTACCATATCTCGTTCATTACAAATACCTGTAAAAAGAAAAAACAAAATACCTACTTATAGAAAAACACAAAATGAAAGCTGGGTGTGGCATTACACAGAGCGTAATAAAGTTACAAAACTAAAATATTGTAAAGTAAATATAGATGACGGCAATGGAAATATTGAGCGATGTACAACTATTTTCCAACCTTCTACTTCAGTTACCAATATTGCTTCACATTTACGTACCATACATAGGATTTTTAAGGACCAAAAATTAGATGCGTCTATAGTATCTTCAAGTAAAAACATAATACAAACAACAATTAACTCTATATTTGAGAAACATGCTGAAATAACACAACCACTTCCTAAAGAAAAACAAAAACGTATAACTTATCGTTTAGTAGCTTGGTTGGTTGAGGCAATGATGCCTTTAGACTGTATTAATCATGACCGCTTTAAAGATTTCTGCTATGAAATTAATTCACGATTTGGAGCTCCCTGTACTAATACAATAAAAAATAAAATTGCAGAATCAGTAATATATACACGATTAAATTTAAATAAACTAATAAATGAAACAATGATATCTGTATGTTTTACAACAGATTTATGGACCCAAAATCATGTT